GTTGGGAAAAGGCGCATCATGATTTGGATACCTACCTTAAAGTCATGTTAGGGTTGCAGTCCCCATATCTCTACTCGTATCACGAGGAGGATAAAATAGGCTAAATTCCCGAACGAGTAAGAAAATATTTATTGATAATACTTCATGAGTTATAGTAGTTGATCATTTGGTTCACTCTTATGGAGATTAGTCCTGATCGATGTTAAAAATTGCAAAAAAGATGTTGACAGGTGACATGTGTATAAGGCAAGTTGTCTTATTTAGAACGGTACTGATATATCATGTATGCACGTAGTCAAAAGTGTATTTATTTTAGGAATGAAAACAGCTTTGACAAAGTGCATCTTTTGTTTTTTTGTACGTTTCTCAAGTACCTACGTTTCTTTTGGGAAGTTAGTTATAAGAATTATTATCAAATACTTAATTTAATGATAAGTTTAGGGTAAATGTCTCAAAGGAAGGCGTCTTCAGTGAAATATATTAAGATAATTGTTATTACCTTATTATGTTATGTTAATATGTACACTAATCCTTATACAGGTATAATAAAATTACTGAATGTGCCACAGAGAGCTCTTCTCTATCAATCACAATCATATGTCTTTGATCACAGTCGAACTTTGACAATGGCATATATGTCAAGTACTCACAAGACGCAATCAAGAATACGTTTCATTCATCTGCTTCTAAGCTATTTCGATCAACAAACGATCTAATCCACCTGTTCGCTGTTTATTTACATTCCATGATTTCCTTGACCTCGACCGTGCGGAGCTCGCGAACTCTGCCAAGTTCGAATCCATTTCCATACCGCATTAATACACCATTAAATATGGATAGTTCACTGCTAGTTAGCATGCATGTAAAACTTCTTATGTATTCACAAGTTTTATGAATATACAAATTCTTAGTAGTTCGATCAAAATAACGTATATTTGGTAAATAATAAACGATTATTATATGAAAATGTTTGATCCATTTTTCGAACTTTTTTTTTAAATTTACACAACACAAGAAATGTGGATTTGCCAGTTTCAAAATTATTGTCATATATATAACCTTGCCTTAAAGTTATGAGATATCATGTATTTTATCGGGAACATGTATGTAACTTCTGAGACTTATCGTGTAGTTTTCATGTTCATAGGACCCTATTGTCTGGCCGAATCAAAACTACATGTATGTTTGGATTGCAGGGCCATTCATACTACTGTATTAACACACTGTATAGGAATGTGAAAATAAAAAAAAATAAAAATGATTTCTGGAAGACAGAAAACAAAATATACTGTCACATAATTGTCAATTGGACTTGCAAAGGACCACCGTGGTGATCGAAAAGTCGGTCAATAAACAAACATCTAAACATATAGACGTATGTCATTCGGACAGACAATGGAGTCCTATTCGAATATTTAACAAATACATGTATGTATGCCTACAGGCTGTTTCAAATTCGACCTTCCCCATTGGGATCTTGGAACCGGTAAGAGATACGAAGTTGGACAAATGGAAGCAATGTTGCGCGTTTAGGTAACCAAGAAAATGGAACTTGGACGTATCACACCGCCAAGTATTTCCAGAGAGAGACAAAAGAAACCGAATTTTCCAAAAATCGTTTTTATTTTTGCCTGAATTGTAGGCGCCATATTAGATGTTTGCACTGGCGAATAGAGTTTTTAATGCTGATTTCAAATATGTCATAGATTGAATATGTTATTTAAATAAAATTATATTTTCATGGATGGCCTTGAAAATGACAGCTTATTACATATTTACCCGATTAAATCAGTAATGTTTCAAAACTTGAACAGCTTGTTTAAAGAACATTGAGATAATTTGATCATTTATAGAAAATAACAAGCGTTATATCAGCATGATGAGGACGCTCTAGATGACACTTCAGCCGCATATTAATTGTATTTGAATCTGTGCATCAACATCGCTTTAAATATGGCAGTTATAAAATTTGCTTAGGGAGCTGCCACATCCTCACTATTTCGATCAGTTACATGAAATAATACCGTTTCCAATATTTTCGATATTACCCCTAAATAATATAAAAATGGTTGTTCTTTTTTCGAGGAGTTAATACCAACTATAGGAAGATTACCGTTTTATTAATCTATATCATGGTGCGTACAACATCATATTATTATTACACCGGAAGTAGGGACTGTTCACATATTTCTAGTTGGTAAAAACTGAAGGAATGCTTGACTAATGATATAATGAAACAAATGACTATTTGATCCATCATGCAGGCGAGAAAAAGTGGAAACGTTAATGCACTTTTTGTTTTGAAATCCGATGTCAAATAAAAACGATTTTGAGGAAATTCGGTTTCTTTCGTCTCCGAAAATACTGTGCCATTTTCTTAATTACTCAGAAATACGCAACTTTGCTCCCATTCAATCAACATCGTATTTCTTACCGCTTTCGAGATCCCAGTGGCAAGAGTCGAATTTGAAACACCCGGTATATAAGATAAAATCATATTAAACGTCTGTTCACAAACGTAATGATACATTAGAAGTGATATTAGCACTCATTTTCAGAGTTCACTGCACCAACATGCTAACATTCTTGATACATAAGAAAACCTCACCACAGTTAATGTTTTTTTTTGTCGAATAAACATGAATTTAATACAGGCCATGATAGCGGCGATTTGTAATTTCAAAATTTAATCATAATATAATGTATCTGATAATACGTATTATAACTACAGGGTTACGTATTTCATGTTGCACAACATTTTTTATGTTTAAATAAACTAAAAAGTAACGCTTAATTACACGTCGTAAGGAAATGCTTACTTAAATGTCAATCATCATTAGTTTTCACAAACACTATCTACATACGTACTTCAGCCACTAAAAATGTATTTTCTGAATCCCGGCACAAGCATCCTACTTATTATAAAGCTTATGAAGGAAATCTCGAATGATATTCATACATACATGTATAAAATTATGCTTTGTTAATTATTGCATTTTAAGTTACAATTTTAAGGCTATTATAAGCTACAGTATTACTATATACTGTAGACAAATAAGCCATACAGGCCAGACATATTAGGGCAGCTGTTTCTGATGCTGATACTGAAATAACTTACTGACTGGACGAAGCAATATTCTAATTCGGTATCAACACTTCACATTTAGTTGCAATTTTAGTGCGAATACAGACATCCGCAAGAAACAATTATTCTGAATTAAAAATAAGTATTGTTATGACGGATTACATCTTCATAAAAATTATAGAGAGATTGCAGGCGTATAATGTATAAACAAGACCTGCGATAACTAATGATGTAACATGTGTAGCAAGATACGAACGAAATAAGTGGTGTAACCATTCATATACCGAGGCTACTAACTTAACTCAGAATTCAATTAAATATTTTTTATTGAAAAACTGGAGTTAGGACATTAGCTTAGCATGTTCCACACATTCATGTCTATATACTATACTTTTACTTTTCAATAATCTTTTTAATCACGTCCAAAAATGATCATGTCCGACAACATACAATAAGCATATTTTTCTTGCCAATTTTTCGAATTTCAGTTAATCACTTTTTTTGATGTCTGATAACGTTCATATCACGGAAAAACATGTGACCTTTTTGACTATCTGTTGAACTTTTTCAAACAGTGGTGGGGAGATATGATCAAATAAAAAGCTTTTAGATCCTTCCTAAACTTGGTTTTGTATGTTTTACACCATTTTGATAATTTATTTTTGAGCGGATAATTCTTTTTAGCTGCTAAGAAATGTAAGAAAATTTACAATATACTTTTTAAGGGTTTTATATTTTTCTATCATTTTATTGCAGAGTCATAAAATGTTTGAGGAGTTGTTTTTTAAATTTGGCAAATTCTGAGTTTTCTATCTCCTAAAAGAACGCTGTCATCAGCTTATGAAAGATTACCTTCGGTACAAGTTAGCGCCTTCCAGTACCCACCCATTTGACAACGGTATCGGTCTCGTTCCATGTTTATATCCCATCAATATATCTAATGGGTGATAACTACTGGGGCTAGAAGCGTATAAATATATTAAAGCAAAAAAGTGAGACATACCCAGACCCCTTACAAATCTCCGTCCCCAATTTATACCCCAACAAAAAATTATAAAAATGAAGAGGGCTATCTGAAACTTTAAAAAACAAGTATTTCACAGTTATTTTTTTTTTCATCCGTAGCAATGTCGCCATTAAATCGGATTTCAAAAATTACAGGAAGTAACACAATAGGATTTTTATGACTCTGAGGAAATTTCTGAAAACCTGTTGAAACATACTTTGTGGGACCTTAGAACCGATTGATCATCTCGAAATTTGCGGTTTTATAATTTCTTTGCCTTGATCAATAAAATTGTCTTGACTATACAATGTTACCCCGCATAACTTCTAAAATGCTATTTTAGGGCCATATTTGTTGTTCTCTGTTCTACGGAGATCCGACAAAAAGTGTATAGAGGTATGACAGTCTATGAACTTTTTTGCATTAGTGTGGTAGGTTTAAATGTTTACCGTAAACGTCCAGAAAGAAAATATGTGATTATGCTCACATATAAGCGTTCCCATGCTTAGCAGCTGTCTTCTATTCTATTTTCTCCCCCGAGTCGCGGCGCGGAGGTAGCGTGCCGCTAGTGCATTTGAGATTATGTAGGGCTGTGGAATTCGAAGCTTAACGGATTTTCATTATATACATCAATAATATAAATTTATTTCATTGGAAACATTTGTATTTACCACATAATAAGACAATTAGTGTGTTTATTTTATATTTAAAATGACGTCTACTGAAAACGCTTTCCTAAAAACATGATCATAACTATTAAAAAATCAAAATTATCCATATGTTACCTCAAGCGTTTTTTAATACCCCACAAAGCATGTTTCAATATCTTTTTTAATTGTTCTCCCAGTAATAAAAATTCGACAAAACCCGACTCCTGCCCAGAAAGGGAACAATAATAATCGTACTCACCAACACAAGCCGCAATATACAAGAACGTCCTGTCCGCCTTAACGGCTGCTGAATCCGCGATCACCATCCTATTCGCACCACTTGCACGACGCACCGCCTCCGGGTTAATTCTAGCGACGACGAAAGGGACGCCACCGCTACCGCTGGACGCTCCCGTCAGCGGTTGTGCTTCTTCGGGGACGGCGGCAGTGGAATTGCCCCCCTCCACCATGCCGTTTCGGTACTCGTCGCGGTCACCGTTCATCCTCCTATAATACAGGACATAACAGAAGATACATGGTGAGTCAGAACTATCATACCAACATACCATTCAGGTAATCCTCTCGTGTTTCTCGCGCGAATTAAGCCACATAATATGTTTAAAATTCCTCTTTATTGTACGACGTTTCGGTCCCATCGGTGAGTTTCTCCAAGTACAATTGACACTTTTTTTGACAATAAGGATTTCTTCGCGAGTCCACGGTGTAGAACAGTGCACTACCGGGAACCGATACTCAAATTTTCGCGAAGAACGGGAATAGGGAAAAAGGGATAAGACGTCGTCCGAATGTCAAACAATCACGTGGTACGGGTACCCGCCTAACGTCTGTGAGGTACTAGCGGCTGACAGGTCTCATGTCAATTTCATTTAAAAAACAGGCATCTCAATTAAAAATTTGTCTTCACAGTGCCGAAAATTGAGTCAAATTATTAAATCATAAATGGAGGAACGCGTCCTCCTGATTTTAAATGATGAGGGGAAATGGTCACGATGGACGCGGTGACGTGTCTGGTACAATAAAGAACGACAGATAACCTCATACTCGCTTGTCGTCTTGGAGGACTGGACGTCTTTTTGGGAACTGGAGTGCCTGCCCTAGACAGTCGTAGGCTTTGCTGGTTTTGCGCAGTGCCATCTTATAAGTGGAATGATAGTATCGTTTTGCGTAAAAAATATATTGCCATTATAATTTTGATCGGTACTTTGGAAAAGTACACCATGGTGGCGGAAACGCTAGGAAAGAGTAATTTCTACGTATGAGCTTTCATTTGGCCACGAAAACATGGAGTTGTATCAGCATGAAAACGACAGAATAAGTGCCAGATGCTACAAAATTCAGATCGTTTTCCACAGTGTCCATCCTGCGTCATGTGAAAAGGAGGTACTTCAAATTTCTCATCCAATGAAAGCTGAATGACCTCCATTTTTCACATGTTCGCTGCTGTTTTAAAGCTAGGACTTTAACTTGTTTCCCGAAAAGGAAAGTCCGAACTCTCCGTATTCTATGAGTGTTTACATTATTCTTACTTTACTGTATTAACGAAAATAAATTCCCATTTCTGCTTTGGCCGCTTTAGTAATGGGTGCCATTCACCTGTAAATATTTGTCGTCAATGTTCTGAGGTTTATCTTGTGGTTGTTTGGATGATCCATCTCCATGCTGTACTTGACCAATAAAGAAAAGCACAAATGTTGGATAAACTAACTTACATTTTAGCAGCCTTTAGAAATATCTGTTAATGATAATCCTCTATGTTTGTCTGGACGCTAAATGACCCACATACGTGTTCATTTGAAAACTTTCCACCACGGGTTTATCGAAAACCACTGATTAAAAGCAAAAAAAACTCCGAGACACGTCAAAAGATTTGTCAAGGGGGACAACTTTTTAACCAAAAACCCCCCAGGGTCATCCCTTAAAAATTTCAAATGATAAGGGGTATCAAGTAACAGCTTGTTTGACAGGTCTTTCGACGTCTTTTATTTTGACGTTTGTTTTTTTTAAATTAAAACTTTCAGGTTGGGGAGTAAACACAATAGATTTCAAATAGCCCCATAGAAAAAGCTCTAATGGCGTCAAATCAGGAGATCTAGCGGTCCATTCTATCGGCCCTCCTCGCCCTATCCACTTATCTGAAAACTCGTCGTCTAGCCATAGTGAGAAAGAGTGCTGTCTTGCTGGAAATATATTTCAGCCTCCTCAAGTATAGGGTTCCCATACTCTTCGATTTGGTTTTTAATGGTTTCAGTGATAAGCGGATTAATGGTGTTTTCCAACGTATCAGAATACATGCCTCCATTCAAATTTCCATTAACAAACAATAGCCCAATAATCTGTTTTTGTAAATAGCTGCTCATACATCAATTTTTTTGTGGGTACTGGGTATGCCCTTCTACAAAACCATGAGGATTTTCATTGCTCCAATACCTGCAGTCATGCTTATTAACAAATCCGTTTAGATAAAATGTGCATTCATCACTGATAAGATATTCTTCTTCTACCAGTCGCAGCAACAATTTTGCGTAATGAATTAGGATTTATTCCAAAATGATCCAAAACTTCAGCTTGAGCGGCTTCATCCAAAACTCTCCGATGATTACGTTTTTTATTTGCAACTGATCCAGTTGGAGTAAATTTAGTAACAAAGTCCAAAACATACCTGTGCGAATTTATCTTCCCCGCATGTCTGGCGTTAAACGTGACGGCAGTTTGCTGAGCACATTGATTTTGGACACCATACATTAGAATCATTTCCACTATTTCGGCTAGTGTGTAAACGATTTTGGAAGTAAAATCTGAATCAATAAATTCATTTTCACTATCCCAAGATTATCACAAAGGTAACTGACAGCAAATTAAATTCTTTCTTTCCCTTAGCAACAAATAACTAAACAGGTATAACAATAAACACAGGATAATAATAATACAAGATACCTGTGTTGATGAAAAGAATGCGAAAAATAATTCGGGTTAATATTTGGGTGTTGCCACGTCTAATCTTCCGAGTTGCTGTTTATGTTGGTAGATTCCGTTTTAAATTATAGACGAATTGTAGATTTGGCAAACCCTAACGGGCAATATTTTGAACACTTATTGAAATAAAAAGTGATATTTTCGTGTTTTTTTTTCTTTTCTAACTGAATAAATCAAGATAAATAAAGATTTTTATAATTTTCTTGAAAACGATACGACTGATTTTAAGAAGTCAAACTTCAAAGTAAAGAGAGAAGAAAGACCTTTTAAACAAGCTATTACTCAATATCCCTTGTCATTTAAAATTTTTAAGGGAATGACTCTGGGGTGCTGAGGGTCAAAGGGGGCGAAGTTTTTGGTTAAAAAGTTGTCCCCCTTAACAAATCTTTTGACGTGTCTTGGCGTTTTTTCTTTTAATCAGTGGTTTTCGATAAATCCGTGGAGGGAAGTTTTCAAATGAACACACTGTATATTTGCAACACTGTTTACTGATACGATGATGTAAACAGTATTCGAATCATATGTGGATTCTTTTAGCTCTAAGGCAAACATGGAGAATTATCAGCATGAAAACCACAGGATAAGTTTCAGGTGTTTCGTAAGTATCACTCAATTAAGTGCATTTCATTTTCGAGGCTTTTTGTGGGTATAGTAAATGATATTAACGAGTTGTGAAGAATATGTATATATATATACAGAAAATATTTATCTATCAAACATGGCGACTCTAATTTTAAACTAAAAATATATTAACATTTTCATAATATGGGTAAAGGATTATAGATACGAAGATAAGTCAAAATAATACGACAACTTCGTATAAGCATTGGTCCGAATATTCACTCTTGCCCATATACAGGGCGGTGAAGTTGAATTTGTGTGATCGAACATAAAGTATGTCAACAGAGTGGATTGAGACCCAAGATTTTACATAACTATACGGTGAAGTTTTTAGTATGGCATTTGATAGCAGATGGACATACATACCTAAAGTTATTTGTCAGTTTTTTTAGGAGAAAATGTATCATGGAAGGGTTTATTTCATGTGCAAGTAACTAGTTTTTCCAAAAATATGAATAGCCGATGAAGCAGACATTATTTTATTAGGGTATATATAGACCGATTTATTGACCTCTGGTTAACTTTGGTCCAGCAAAAATTATATGTACGTTGCTTATGCTGACTACATGCAAAAATTTAATTTTTTACGTAATATACCTGTATTCCTTAAATACAACATCAGCGCCATACATTTGAGCAAGAAGATATTTTAAGACCTACGTTTATAGGAAGCTTTTTTAAATCTCGTACCTTGTTTTCGTCAATAAAGTCGCTTATTGTTGTTTAATGCTTCGCCCTAGAAATATCGCCTTGTACCTGCAAAAACTAACAGTGCGCCCATTTTGGCCTGAAAATCCTTTAATCCTAAAATTCTCTTCAATGTCTTGTAGAGGTATGTTTTAATTTTAATTTTGGTACATCCGAACAAAAAAGGCTTAATTAACTTTTCTCTAAAGCTGATCAGTTATAGGCAATCCAATTTCTGGAAAGTCCCAAAAATGATTATATTATAAAACTTATAATTTTTGAGGCCCCTAATTTTCTAAATTGAAGATTGAACAAGACTCCGTAGAATAATTTGAGATCACTTTATTTTAAAGTGGTTTAAAGTTATTTGCCAAAATTGGCGAACTTCTGTTTTCGAAGACTGTACACGATGAAAATGTGATTTTTTAAAATATCCTAAATGAAAGCGCAAACATTTAATAGGTAAACTTTTTGATATACATTAATTATTACTATTCATTCCATTTATTTATTGATTTATTTACTGTATTTTCCGAAGGTGTGATATATTCTGCTTCCGGTATTCGACTGAGACAGTAGTTTTTGTTGAAATGTCCCAGGAAATATCTTGTACATATCCTATTTTGTTACTTCTTATTGTTAGTCAATTGTTTTAAAAAGTATAATCATGGTAAAATTATAGCCTATAGTCTTTTATTCTGTATTATATGTAGGTACTATATTTTTTTCGAAGCTGCTATAATCTTACAATTCCAATATAAAATCATTTAATGAGAACATTATTGTTAAACATTCATTACTTCATGTCTGTATGGATGACACAAGATATTTATATTGCTGCACTATAATCTTTTGGGAACAACAATCGAATATTGTTCGTAAACGAGCATGCACAATGAAAACATAAATACTATTGGAAGTCTGCATTTTTCTATTTAGTGGGGATCAGCAAGGATAGGAGGGATATATCAGAATTATAAAGTATGTATACACAGAAAGGTATAGAAATATGGTTGGTTGGTTAGAATCAAAAGTGGAATAATTGTTGTGCAAATGGTACTACTATTGTGTATGGATAGAATAATGATGAATCAGGTTATTGAGGGATTGCTGCCCACCTGCATGTCAAAATAATAGAAAAATCACGTAAAAACGACACTTCATATTGTAGAAATAATTTATTCGTAATGCAGTCATAACCTCCGAAACCGAACCGACGTAACCTGTAAGGGATGTCACACGTTTAAAGACCCTGCGCTTTACTGTCGGAGTTGGGAAGGGGATAAATGGATCAATATTCAGAGCCTTAACCCGGGAAATTTAAAAAAGGTATGTACAATCTGTGAATAGCTGTCTTCTATAGAAGGTACACAGTGCTTTTCAAAAAATCTTCACTTATTAATTTTTGAAATGGGTTAAGTTTGCAAGCTGAAATTAGGGATGATGAGTTGATGCAGTTGCTATCCTTTAATAAAAGTGGCAATTAAACAACTGGTCAAATAAAATTTAAATATTTATTCATCATTATACAAAAAGTATTATACATTTAAAAAAATATATAAAATGAAGAAATAAATGAATAAGCCAGCAAAGGCGAAGCCTTAAGCGTGGCATGAATAAATAATAATGGCATACTTCATAGAAGCTACAGGGAGTAATTTGAAAAAAGCAATTGTTGCATTTTTTATATAATTCTAAACATCAGAAAAAGAACGTCTGAGTCTAGTTACTGTGAATTATATGATTTTTTTTGTCGTCAATAGCTATCTATACTTTCTGTAGGTGACGTTTTCATCAACACTTCTACTTTTTTAAATTAGCTGAAGCTTTGAAGTTTTCTTATGTCTATATGCACACCACTGTGACATTTTCTGCCTTAAAATATATGACATGTCGTGAATATACTTTTATTTGGTTTTGAAACTAAAATTTTGAATGATTCTGTCCGTGAATCATAATTAAAGTCTAAATATACTCGTATAATAGGTTTAGTGCTGCACGCTGTTGTAGCAAATGAGATATGGCTTTCAGTAGGTAACCTGTATGCTAATTCTATTTGAGGAAATGTTAGTATGTTACTGAGAATTATGATTTAATATAGTAGATATCTTAATTTCTTCATGACAAAATTTATGTGAATATCCCACATTAGGTGGTCATCTATGAAGAACCCATGGTATTTGATTTTAATTTGTTCAATTGCTACCTTTTTTGGGTGACATTGGATTACAAATTTACTATAATTTGGTAGTAATATGTGATAGGATGTAAATGACATAAAGGATGTTTTACTGGTATTTCTTGTTAACAGTCTGTCATAGAACCAATTCGATATGTATACCATTTTGATTGATACATTATTGCTAAATCATTCACAAAGGTAATCATCTCGCCTTTTGTATCAATTTGGAACAAATCTTCCAGATTTATAATAAATAGCAGGGGTCCTAGTACTAGGACCTGCGGGATTCCATTTTTGAAATTTTTTGTTTTACTGTATATTGCCAATTTTAATATACGTTTGAAAACCTTCCACCAGAGATTTCTCGAAAACCACTGATTAAAATAAAAAACCCCGAGATACATTTGTCAAGGGGGGCAACTTTTTAACCAAAAACTACTACACCCCCTTTGACCGTCGGCCCCCCAGGGTCATTCCCTTAAAAATTGTAAGGGGTA